CCAGATTTTGTTGGTCAAAATGGGATGAAGATGTATACCGAAGCTATATAAAAATCTAAACCGATCTCGATAAAATTTGGTAGAGGTATTTTCGAGCTGTATCTGATGTCCGGTATCAAATAGCATTGTTGTGTAGTGTATATTCCGTATGTGAGTGACTTAAACTCCCAAATCGGATGCAACATATATATGGCAGCTATAGCTATATCTGAACCGATGTTCTCCAAATTTGATGTACTTACTTCTGGACCGAATTCTGTCGGATGTACCACAATTCACTCCATTTGGGCTGATATTAGCCATTTGGTGCACGAAAAGCCTGCAATCGGATAAAGATATACAGGGTGAGATAAAAAAACTGCCGTAATTTTTAATTTTTTTCTTTTTTGAAATTTTATTGAATGAAAGCAGAAATGTCGGAAATTGCATCAAATTTTAGATTAAGTTTAGATTTGTTCGAATTAGTCACCTTTGGTACGAATTATGGTCTTCAAACGGCCAAGAAACCGTCACGCGCTGTCCGAATGTTGCTCTGCGGTATTTTGGCCCATTCCCGGCGAAGCAATTGCTTGTGGTGATCGACACTTTGGTATTTTTTGCAAAAATGTTTGCGTGTCCAAGGCTTTAATACACCCTCCATATTCGGCATTTATTCTGATGCCGTGGTCTTTTAATATGAGCGCAGAGCGAACATCGGCCATCACCACCATCACCGTGGCCGGCGCTTGAGTTCTGGTGGCCAGCCAAAGGTGCACATTTTCAGCTGACCTCTTTGATAAGTAAACACAACCATATTGTATCTTTACAATCTACTGGACAACGAATGTTTTCTCATGGGAGAAAATCAAATTCGGAATTTCACCATTTTCGGCCAAGCGAAGCAACTCTTTAGCTCATTTGAGTCTATTTTCTTTCTGTTGCGGTGTAAGTTCTTGCACTTTTTGCAATTTCAAAGGCTTTACCCCAAGCTCATTTTTCAATATTTGCCGAATGGAATATTGCGATATATTTAGCCCACGAGCCATTTTGCGGCCACTGCCATGCGGGCTTCGATCAAGTCACTTCTTTACTTTTCGAGCCATTTTTGCTGATGCTGCTGTTCCCTTCCGTCCACATCATTGACGTCGGGCTACGCTACCAGTATCACGGTAAAGAGATACACAAGATTTATTCACATTTAAATACTGGAGTGCTCTAACGATAGCCAAAGAAATCACACTATCACGCTTGCATTCAATTACGAATAACTTTTTTCTGGAAAATTCTCACCGAAATGCTTTTGTAAGATTGTAAACAATATAATGAGCTGTCACTGGAATAATTTTTACAGCTGTCGGACGAGTGGCTTAGAAATGACAGCAGTCTGAAGTTGGTTTCAGTTTTTTCATCTCACGCTGTGCATGGGAGCTATAGCTATATCTGAACCGATTTTCACTTAATTTGAAGGATGAATTCAGTCAAATGTGTCGAAATTCAGGTCATTTCAAACAACCCGAAATCGGTTCTGATCCGATCTCGATAAAATTTGACACAGGTATTTGTGGGCTGTATCTGATATCTGGTAGCAAAAATCATTCTTATGGAGTACATATTACGAAAGTGAGGGACTCTAACACCAAATCGGATGAAACATATATATGGGAGCTATAGCTATATCTGAACCGATTTTCATAAAATTTGATGTGCTTGCTTCCAGACTGAATTCGGTAAAATGTTCCAAAATTAGGTCATTTGACCTGATATTGGCCAATTGTCTCACAATTAACCCGAAATCGATTTATGTTATATATGGGAGCTATATCTAAATTTGAACCGATTCTCCCCAATTTTAATAGGGTTCGTCCTTGGGCCAAACAAATATTGTTTGGAAAATTTCATCTCAATCGGATAATAAATGCGGCCTGCATTTTGTTCACAAAAATACATGGACAGATGAACGGATGGATGGACTGACAGAAAGTGATTTTGTAAAGATCCTCAAAATTAGATATGGGTCGATCATTCTTCCTTCTCCATGTTACAAACAAATGCACAAAGACATAATACCCTTCCCACTAAGTGGTGTAGGGTATCAAAATATTTCAGATATTGTATGTAGTAATCATTTATCGGCCCCATCATTTGCTTAGGGGCATCAAATAAATCGCCCGCCGGTTTTTTTATAATTTCTTATTTTCATGGAGGTTTTTGTTACCTTAATAATGGGTTAATATAGAATACCAGAATTTACTTTGGACCCCACTGCCTTCAAGGTCACTTCCTTTCGGAATTGGAAATTGTTCACATTGAAAACGTGTTTGTTTCTTATTGTCTCTAATTTTCGGTTTTCAATTCACTAACGATTTTTCATAATTAGAATTGACATTGAATCTCTGTGGTATTGAAAAGAACCGGTATTGCCACAAAACCACAAACATCCACCATCCGCAAGCGATTAGCTAACCAACCAGCAGCAACAGCGCTAAAATTACGTTAATATCTTTGCTCAGATTGCCAATAGAATTGAACGTTTAACTGACGAAGATAAACTTATTAACATTTTAACGGATTTTTAAGCGTGGGAATATTTTTTCAACAGCTTGTCTTATTATTATGCAGAACAAGTGGTTTACTTTGAAATATTTAAATATTTATTTAAGCAAAACATAAACAATGGAAATCATAAAGTTTTTTTGTTAACCCAGCAAACATATTAATGAAAGAGAAAAAATTGGGAGGAAAAAGTTCTTTAAAAAATCCACATTTTCTTGGTCTAAAAGTCCTTGGAAAGATTCTTTAAAAAATCCACGTTTTCTTGGTCTAATGGTCCTTGGAAAAATTCTTTAAAAAATCCACGTTTTCTTGGTCTAATGGTCCTTGGAAAAATTCTTTAAAAAATCCACGTTTTCTTGGTCTAATGGTCCTTGGAAAAATTCTTTAAAAAATCCACGTTTTCTTGGTCTAATGGTCCTTCGAAAAAAAATCTTTAAAAAATCCACGTTTTCTGGTCTAATGGTCCTTGGAAAAATTCTTTAAAAAATCCACGTTTTCTTGGTCAAATCGTCCTTGGAAAAATTCTTTAAAAAATCCTCGTTTTCTTGGTCAAATCGTCCTTGGAAAAATTCTTTAAAAAATCCACGATTTCTTGGTCTAATGGTCCTTGGAAAAATTCTTTAAAAATTCCACGTTTTCTTGGTCTAATGGTCCTTGGAAAAATTCTTTAAAAAATCCACGATTTCTTGGTCTAATGGTCCTTGGAAAAATTCTTTAAAAAATCCACGATTTCTTGGTCTAAAGGTCCTTAGAAAAATTCTTTAAAAAATCCACGTTTTCTTGGTCTAATGGTCCTTGAAAAAAATTATTTAAAAAATCCACGTTTTCTTGGTCTAATGTTCCTTGGAAAAATTCTTTAAAAAATCCACGTTTTCTTGGTCTAATGGTCCTTGGGAAAAATCTTTAAAAAATCCTCGTCCTTGGAAAAAATTTTTACAAAATCCACGTTTTCTTGGTCTAATGGTCTTTGGGAAAATTCTTTAAAAAATCTACGTTTTCTTGGTCTAATGGACCTTGGGAAAAATCTTTAAAAAATCTACGTTTTCTTGGTCTAATGGTCTTTAAAAAATCGACGTTTTCTTGGTCTAATGGTCCTTAGGAAAAATCTTTAAAAAATCCACGTTTTCTTCGTCTAATGGTCCTTGGGAAAAATCTTTAAAAAATCCTCGTCCTTGGAAAAATTTTTTACAAAATCCACGTTTTCTTGGTCTAATGGTCTTTGGGAAAATTCTTTAAAAAAATCTACGTTTTCTTGGTCTAATGGACCTTGGGAAAAATCTTTAAAAAATCTACGTTTTCTTGGTCTAATGGTTTTTAAAAAATCTACGTTTTCTTGGTCTAATGGTCTTTAAAAAATCTACGTTTTCTTGGTCTAATGGTCTTTAAAAAATCGACGTTTTCTTGGTCTAATGGTCCTTAGGAAAAATCTTTAAAAAATCCACGTTTTCTTGGTCTAATGGTCCTTGGAAAAAATTCTTTAAAAAATCCACGTTTTCTTGGTCTAATGGTCCTTGGAAAAAATTCTTTAAAAAATCCACGTTTTCTTGGTCTAATGGTCCTTAAAAATATTCTTTAAAAAATCCACGTTTATTGGTCCTTGAAAAAATATTCTTTAAAAAATTCACGTTTATTGGTCCTTCAAAAAATTTTTTAAAAAAATCCACGTTTATTGGTCCTTGAAAAAATATTCTTTAAAAATCCACGTTCATTGGTCCTTGAAAAAATATTCTTTAAAAACCCACGTTTATTGGTCCTTGAAAAAATATTCTTTAAAAATCCACGTTTATTGGTCCTTGAAAAAATATTCTTTAAAAATCCACGTTTATTGGTCCTTGAAAAAATATTCTTTAAAAATCCACGTTTATTGGTCCTTGAAAAAATATTCTTTAAAAATCCACGTTTATTGGTCCTTGAAAAATATTCTTTAAAAATCCACGTTTATTGGTCCTTGAAAAATATTCTTTAAAAATCCACGTTTATTGGTCCTTGAAAAAATATTCTTTAAAAATCCACGTTTATTGGTCCTTGCAAAAATATTCTTTAAAAATCCACGTTTATTGGTCCTTGAAAAAATATTCTTTAAAAATCCACGTTTATTGGTCCTTGCAAAAATATTCTTTAAAAATCCACGTTTCTTGCTCCGCTAATTCTTAAAAAATATTTTTTTTAAAATTCAAGTATTCCTTAATTTTTCCGAAAAGTTGAATATTTAACATTTCACATCAATCTTCCCTAAACTTTAAGACCACAAAAAACTTCACAATTCAAAAGATTCTTCACATGGAAGAAAACTTGTCTTTCTTTCCAAATCCTGTCATAACTTATGAAACAATGTAAGTTTTCATGCAGAAATCAAAAACAAAAAAATAATAATATATGGCTTCTCTTTATCAAACTTAGCTAACATTTTCCCTAAAGAAAACATGTTTTCATCTCTCTCTCATTCCCTATATTTTTTTTCTTTTCAGATCCGAAAATATCTTTCCCACACATAATAACAACAATTTATGGACAACTAAATGGTAAGGAATCAAAAAAAAAGCAAAAACAATTTCTGCAATGATTAATTACAGCATTTAAAAACATCAACTTTTTTCACAGAAGCAAAAAAAAGTTAGAAAACAAAACTGCATTGGGTATTATATCACAAACGCATGAGGAAACATGGCCAGCAGTCCATGCCGGCTCCTTGGGGATATTTTCACTGTGCAAGAAACTCAACTAGAAATGAAAAAGTGTAATAAGACATGACACAAACATCAACAGCAACAACAACATTAGCAATAGCAAACATTTCAACATATCCCGGAAATTTCTGGCATTGTTACACATGTATCTTAACTTATGATTATTATCAATTGCAAGTCATCCTGGCCAGCCAGCTAGCTAGCTCTAGGCTAGAGAGCTAGCTAGCCACCTTCATCATCATCCTGGCCTTATTATTATCAACTGACAATAGTGGCGCGCTTCTATGCTCTCACAATTGTTGTTGACTTTATCTAAACAGCTTTTAGTCACGGAGCGTTTATTTTTGTGGCCATAAGAAAATTTTGCAATAGCCCAGTGGGGAAAATTTGCACGAATGAAAAAAATATATTTCTCAAAAAAAAAAAGAAGCTGAAAAAGCTTCTCTAGGTATAGAAGAGCTGCAAAAGCTCTGTAGAAGCTCTTCTAGCCATAGAAGAGCTCTGTAGAAGCTCTTCTAGGCATAGAAGAGCTCTGTAGAAGCTCTTCTAGCCATAGAAGAGCTCTGTAGAAGCTCTTCTAGCCATAGAAGAGCTCTGTAGAAGCTCTTCTAGTCATAGAAGAGCTCTGTAGAAGCTCTTCTAGCCATAGAAGAGCTCTGTAGAAGCTCTTCTAGCCATAGAAGAGCTCTGTAGAAGCTCTTCTAGCCATAGAAGAGCTCTGTAGAAGCTCTTCTAGCCATAGAAGAGCTCTGTAGAAGCTCTTCTAGCCATAGAAGAGCTCTGTAGAAGCTCTTCTAGCCATAGAAGAGCTCTGTAGAAGCTCTTCTAGCCATAGAAGAGCTCTGTAGAAGCTCTTCTAGCCATAGAAGAGCTCTGTAGAAGCTCTTCTAGCCATAGAAGAGCTCTGTAGAAGCTCTTCTAGCCATAGAAGAGCTCTGTAGAAGCTCTTCTAGGCATAGAAGAGCTCTGTAGAAGCTCTTCTAGCCATAGAAGAGCTCTGTAGAAGCTCTTCTAGCCATAGAAGAGCTCTGTAGAAGCTCTTCTAGCCATAGAAGAGCTCTGTAGAAGCTCTTCTAGCCATAGAAGAGCTCTGTAGAAGCTCTTCTAGCCATAGAAGAGCTCTGTAGAAGCTCTTCTAGGCATAGAAGAGCTCTGTAGAAGCTCTTCTAGCCATAGAAGAGCTCTGTAGAAGCTCTTCTAGCCATAGAAGAGCTCTGTAGAAGCTCTTCTAGCCATAGAAGAACTCTGTAGAAGCTCTCCTAGCCATAGAAGAGCTCTATACAAGCTCTTCTAGCCATAGAAGAGCTCTGTAGAAGCTCTTCTAGCCATAGAAGAGCTCTGTAGAAGCTCTTCTAGCCATAGAAGAGCTCTGTAGAAGCTCTTCTAGCCATATAAGAACTCTGTAGAAGCTCTTCTAGCCATAGAAGAGCTCTGTAGAAGCTCTTCTAGCCATAGAAGAGCTCTGTAGAAGCTCTTCTAACCATAGAAGAGCTCTGTAGAAGCTCCTCTAGCCATAGAAGAGCTCTGTAGAAGCTCCTCTAGCCATAGAAGAGCTCTGTAGAAACTTCTCTAGCCATAGAAGAGCTCTGTAGAAGCTCCTCTAGCCATAGAAGAGCTCTGTAGAAGCTCCTCTAGCCATAGAAGAGCTGTTAAGGCTCTTCTATCCATAGAAGAGCTGTTAAGGCTCTTCTATCCATAGAAGAGCTGTTAAGGCTCTTCTATCCATAGAAGAGCTGTTAAGGCTCTTCTATCTATAGAAGAGCTGTTAAGGCTCTTCTATCTATAGAAGAGCTGTTAAGGCTCCTCTATCTATAGAAGAGCTGTTAAGGCTCTTTCTATCTATAGAGGAGCTGTTAAGGCTCTTCTATCTATAGAAGAGCTGTTAGGGCTCTTCTATCTATAGAAGAGCTGTTAAAGCTCTTTCGAAGGTCTTTTTTTAAAGATATCTCAAAGTTCTTCAGGCTATAGAAAACCTCTGAGATTTTTTCTATTTTTCAAATCCTTAGAGCCTTAAGAGCTCTTCTATAGATAGAAGAGCCTTAACAGCTCTTCAAGCCATAGAAGAGCCTTAGAAGCTCTTCTAGCCATAGAAGAGCTGTTAAGGCTCTTCTATCTATAGAAGAGCTGTTAAGGCTCTTCTATCTATAGAAGAGCTGTTAAGGCTCTTCTATCTATAGAAGAGCTGTTAAGGCTCTTCTATCTATAGAAGAGCTGTTAAGGCTCTTCTATCTATAGAAGAGCTGTTAAGGCTCTTCTATCTATAGAAGAGCTTCTATCTATAGAAGAGCTGTTAAGGCTCTTCTATCTATAGAGGAGCTGTTAAGGCTCTTCTATCTATAGAAGAGCTGTTAAGGCTCTTCTATCTATAGAAGAGCTGATAAAGCTCTTTCGAAGGTCTTTTTTTAAAGATATCTCAAAGTTCTTCAGGCTATAGAAAACCTCTGAGATTTTTTCTATTTTTCAAATCCAATTTTTTGGCACCGGGCTTCTTTTTTTACAACGATACAAAGTTGCTATCATGTAATAATTTATTTCCCTATAGCCTTTTCTAGCATTGTCGGATGGCTGGCTGGCATATATAAATATGTATGCATGTCGAATTAAGTTACGCTCACAAACAATAACCAAGCAAAAGGCAAAGATAATTTGATTTTCTGCAAAAGAAACCAAAATGGGGAAATATTCAACGCACTCAACGATAAATAAAGTCGCCAATTACAGTAATAGTATATTTTTGGTTATGTGGGTATGGAGGTATGATAATGATGGTAAAACAGAAAGAAACTTTTAATGGACAGTTGATACAAGACAGATGTTTGAATGTGTTTTTAATGGGTCTGTTTTTTAGTTTTTAAGAAATGACCAGCCAATTTAAAAATTTCTCTATAAGTCAATAGAAACATGGATGGGTCATCATAACTTACAGGTCGCTTAGTTTACCCATATAAACTGATTTAACATTTTTTTTTTTTTAAATTCCGACATTATATTTTTCTGCTTTACATACCAACCTCGTACCACCTACCACTTGTCCTCTGAGAATATACAACCTCAACTAAGTGAATTTCTTGTGATTTTAACTACGGTTTAATTTCTTCCTTTGTATTACACCCCCCCCCCCCCTCACATTTGGAAGACAGCCAAAAAGTATTTATGGACATGCAACATGTTGCATGTCGTTTACTGTGTGTACATAATTACCACAATGATGATGATGATGATGTTCATCATCATAATAATTATCATTAGTTACTATACACACACATGTAGCACACACACTAACATATGAAATGATGGCATTCTTCTTTTGATGTGAAGCATTAAGGAAAAGCATAACAATTTTTTTTTCTACAAAACAACAACAACAACAACAACACAGAAAAAGCAAGGTATTTATGCAAAGTGGATTTACTAGCTCTGTGATAGCTGGCAATATGCCTACCTGCATGACTAGAAGGCTGGCTGGCTGGCAGACTGCCTAGTGTAATTTTGTTTTGGCCTCCAGTTATAATTTCATATTCTTATGAAGAAGATATGCAATAGATAGAAATAAAGAAATGAATGTCTATTGCAGACTTTAGTCGGACTTAATGGCAGTTGGGCTACCCTACATTTGCCAAAATTCTTCTTTTATAGGAAACCCCTTGAAAATGTCCTTGGAAAATAGAAAATCTTAGCTGATCTATGGTAGAAGACCACTCAGACTAGACATTTGTTAGATCTTCTATTAACAATAGTAGGGCTACCCTACATTTGGCAAAATTTGTCTTTAATAGGAACCCACTTAGAAATGTCTTCGGAAAATAGAAAACTTTAGATGAAATATGGTAGGAGACTACCTAGAGTACACACTTGCCAGACCTCAGCCCTATGTCTAGAGACAGCCATATGTCTAGAGAGGGTATAAAAATACCTGGACTTTTTATATGGAAGATCTGGCAAGTGTCTAGTCTAGGTAGTCTTCTACCATAGATCACCTAAAGTTTTCTATTTTCCGAATCATTTGAAACTGCCAAAACGTGCCTCATTGAAATAAGGGTTTAAGATCCTAGGTCTCTTTGGACCAAATCCGTTTCAGGGCATTTAAAGTCGATCTAAAGACGTCCATCCGCCCGTCTTTCTGGCCGACTGGTGCACACAATAATTCTCGAAGGGAATATCTGATTTGGTCCAAACTTGGTACATTGTAATATTATTATCAAACTTAGATCGAGTTCGGAAATGGGCAGTATCGATTTCACTCCTTATGGTACCTCCCCCACAAACGGTCGAAATTTTCAAAAAAATATTTTTACTGCACAGAAAGAGAAAGAATAATTCAATTTTACTCGTACTTTGAAAATCCTAATATTTGCATCAGTGCTAAGTCAGGTGCAAAAATGGACAATATCGGTCCACTCCATCAAGTACCTCCCCCACAAAGGGTCTAAATTTTGAATAATTGTAGCTTTTATAAAAGAGATGTAAGAGCCCGATTGTCTTCAAACTGCACACACCACAATATTTTTATTAACCCAAGGTCTGGTGTGAAGATGGAATATATCGGTTCACTCCTTATGGTACCTCCCCCACAAAAGGGTCAAAATTTTTGAATATTCATGAAGCTCATAAAACGCGAAATTAATATCCGATTCCATTCAGACTTGACACATCACAATATTTCCATCAACGCAAGATTTGTTTAAAAGATAGCAGAGATCGGACCATTTCTTCTGATACCTCTCCCAGAACGGGTAAATATTTTGAATATTCAAAACAATTATAAATTTCGAAATAAGCATCCGGTTCTGTTCATATTACACACATCTCATTATTTCTACTAACACGAAATCTGC